TTGAAAGAAAGAAAGAAAGAAAGAAAGAAAGAAAGAAAGAAAGAAAGAAAGAAAGAAAGAAAGAAAGAAAGAAAAACCTATTTTAGATACATTATAATTTGATTAACTTATAATGTATCTACATTGTTAAAATGTATTGACATGGGATAGATAGATAGATAGATAGATAGATAGATAGATAGATAGATAGATAGATAGATAGATAGATAGATAGATAGATAGATAGATAGATAGATAGATAGATAGATAGATAGATAGATAGATAGATAGATAGATAGATAGATAGATAGATAGATAGATAGATAGATAGATAGATAGATAGATAGATAGATAGATAGATAGATAGATAGATAGATAGATAGATAGATAGATAGATAGATAGATAGATAGATAGATAGATAGATAGATAGATAGATAGATGATAGCAAATAAAACCCTATAGGAACAAATTATTGATTGTCGTTTTGCTTTTGTGTTATTAATATTTGTGTGTGGTGATATCAGCATACATGTGTTAGACATGTCGAGAGGGGAGGACTGACATGAAGTGAATCCTACCTTTTTAATACAGCTGTCTTGAGACGACGTTTCATGATCATTCAGCATTTGCTGTGAAGACAAAAAAAAGATAAACAGTTAATGATTAGCTTCTAAACATTAGTTAATGATTACTAATGACTACTAACAAATACAACATCTTATAATTTTTATGGCCTGAAATCAGCACTGAATTGAATATTTGAAAGAGAGTCACAAGTACAGTCTTGTACAATAATTGCATTTAATTTCATTATTAAAATTGAAGTAATATTTTAATTTAATTAATTTATGAATTTAGCAGACGCTTTTATCCAAAGCGACTTACAGTGCTATACATTTCTTATCAGTATGTGTGTTCCCTGGGAATCGAACCCACGACCTTTTGTGCTGCTAATGCAATGCTCTACTACTGAGCCACAGGAACACTTAATTAATTAATATTTGAACTGTAAAAGTGTCCATTTCATCCTGTTGATGTCAAACTACTTTGACACATTGAGGTAATCGACAGTATACTGTAAATGCTCTTCATGGACACTTAGTTCAGTATGAAGTGGAATATTCTAAAGACTGTGACTATAGAGGAGATTGCAAGCGAGCTTTGAGACGTGTGGAGAAGTGAGCATTAAATGGCTAGTGAGTGATGAGACTGTCGTCTGAATCTGCGCCCCCCGCCGGGCCGTCGCCACAGCAGCGCAGGTTAAACCATCTCCTGCGATCAAATGAATGCTAAAGTTTAATCACTGACTGATGGGAGCAGGACTTTATAAATATATACATTTAAGCTAGACAGTTGGAGGAGATGTGGCATTGGAGGCCTTCAGGGATATTTATCTGAGAAAGCACCCAGTGTCGCTCGTATGAGAAGCCAGCTTGTTCCAGGTTTGGAGATAATGGGAGCTCGTATGAATCTCAGTGGCTCATTCAGAGCAGAACAGGAAGAGGCTGTGCTCTGGGATTATTGGGCCATATGCAGGTTTGACACTGAACCCATTTCCTGTCTCATCCTCTGAATGGAGGGTGTGTGAGCCTGTGCAAAGGTTCTGCAGGACGCTGATGTTGTGTTGGATTGAACCTGACATTTGAAGATTTTAGATAGGCTTAATAACGCACACACACACAAACACACACACACACACACACACACACACACACACACACACACACGCACGCACACACTGAGTCAGAGTGCTGTGAGACTAATATTTTTAATAGGAGTAGACAGAAGGACTGTTGTGTAGTTTACAGTAGTATCACCTTCTCATGCTTTTTTCTGTAAAAAGTGCTTTTTTTTGTTTAATATCTACATGTAAAGGTTAAAAAAAAAAAAACGTAAAAGAACACCTTATAAAAAAA